AATACAAAATACAAATTCTAAATTAACAAAAATATTCTCAAAATACAAATGTGCACAGTGTCCGTAGACATTTGAAAATCTATTTAATATCAAAATGCATACTAAATGATTTTGAATACACACATAAAAAAATATCAAATTGCATACTAACCTAAAATTATTGAAAAATATGATTTCTTTAACAACTTCAATTCAACATTCAAAATACTAAACATGCAAAAGCAATTAAATACATCTTCATCAACAATTTGGTGTTCATCATTCTTTTCAAGTTTCCCACAAGTAGAAGAAAATTCTCCATTTCCATTCTGAATTTGAGGAATGCTTTGCACGCCGATTGGTTCCTGCAATTGTTGGGATCGTCTCTCTTTCCTCATTTTAGCAGTGGTTCCTACGTTATCTGATATTTCTTGAGTAATACATAAATTAAATGATGAAAATCGCTAGAAATTTGATGATTAAGTTGGATATCTCTAGTAAGTCTTTTTAGATTCAGTCATTGGAGATTATTGTAGAGGTTATCAAACCTTAACCAACATTTGAACTACAAACAATTATTCTGATAGATTTTTTTAAAAAAGTCAGAAAAAAAGTAGGATAAAGATGCATACTTAATCAAAAGGATGGTTATGAATTCAAATTCTGAAAGAAAAAAAAATTCCGAAAGAGAAATAGAAAAATATTAGAGAGAGAAATAAATTCTGAATGTTGGAGTAGAATCCTAATAGGTAACTATTAGAGAGATAAAATAATTTTTTTAATTAACATAGGTGAGTAATTGGAAACGTGTAATCAAAGGAAAGGGAGATAAATAGAATAAATTAGGATAAATTGGTTAAAGGTAACTGATTTAGTGGACACTGTTGTATCTGCTTAGAAAAATTCTAAATTATCTAGGGTGATAGCTTAGTGGGCATTGTCGTATCTTCTTAGGATCTTCAAGTAATAGATAGATTACTTGGTCGTGATTTTATTTTATTGAGTATGGAAGTTTTCACGTAAACTGTTTGTGTTGTGTTATTATTGTTATTTACTTTGCAATAGTTGTCGGGTTAAGTAAAGAGACTTGGTCCGTTGACGGTAATGGACGCACGCATCCGATCAATGTTAATTGGATTAAATGATTAATTTGGTATTTACATATAATAAGTTATTTTATTAAATACAAGTCCATGTTTCAGTTCACCTTGAATCTCTCACCCATGACATGCGTCACGATGACTAAGCATACAAGACCAACAAGATGATGTCACGTGTCCAAATGAGGTGAAGCTCGTAGTCAAATTTAAAATCAACACAATCTATCAAGTGTTAAATATAATATCCTTTAGCCAATTATAAACAACCTTGTCCTCAATCTACAATTATAAATAAGGGATAGACATGAATTTTCATGAGAATTCTAACAGAACTCTTCAATAAGTATTTTGCAAGAATGGGAGAATGTTACAACATCAACTACATAGTTATTCCAAAGAGTGACCAATAGAGTTTTTTTTGCAGATCGACTTGAAACGACAAAGTGTTTCCCAATGTTTCTGGAAATCAAACACATCTCAAGGAGGTCTAGATCATCCTATATTCGAGAAATATATTACTGAAGGCCCTTGAATCACAAAGAAGTTTAGGAGAAAAGAATTAAGAGAACAACAAAATTGTACTCACAGATTCATTAATTAAAATCACATTTTTCTTTTATTTTTTTTGCTTGTATTTAGTTTTCACTTTCAACGCTACAAAATTTTGTTGCGAACAAGTGCAGTTTGAGAAGACAATATCAAAACTTTTGAATGTTATAAGAAAAGTTAGAAATGAGCTTCAACTAGATTAAAATTTTAACAAATAAACAAAAAAAAATCACATTTCATTAAATAGTCTTAGATACATTTGTAATTATAAGAAATTACTTATTTATAATATTAATGGACCATATAATATTATTGAAATTGGTAATTTTCATCACTAGGTCAAGTCGGAATGAGACAAAAATTTACTGTTAGAGATTTATAAATTTATGGAGCATTGATTCAGAGAGGTTAATGTAATTTGATGGAAAATTTTGAAAAAGTTAAGAATTGAAATATATACGGGTTGAGACGTAATTTTAGAAGAAAAGACAATCGCTTTTTAAAAAATGAGGTAGTGAAAAAGTTGGAGAAAGGAATTAGGTGTAATTAATTGTGACTTGACTAGGGGTGTGCATTATTTGGATCAAATCGAAAAACAAAATCAAATCGAACCAAATTCTAATTTGAATTGGGTTTTTGGATTTTTGGTTTGGTATTGAATTAATAATTTACTTTGTTTGATTTTTTAGTTTAATTTTGGATTTAGAAAAATGATAAATATACGTATAATATAAAATATATTAAATATACTTTTTAATATAAATCACAAGTAAAACATAAAATACAGTACTTCAAAGTATATCAAAGTGTGTGTGTGTGTGTATGTATATATATATTCTCTTAAGTATACTTTTTAATATAAATCACAAGTAAAAATGTAAATTACAGTACTTCAAACTATATCAAAGTGTGTAATCATTCAACCCGCTCATATTTGATATGGGTAAAAATAGATTGGATAAAATACTAGTTTACCCATATTTCATGAAGAAATAGTTCTTTAATTAAGAATTCAATATGAAGAATATATTTTAGTTTTTTTTAGATGAATTTTTTTGAAAATACTTCATTTAGTTTTATTTTATTATAAATGAAAAAAAAAAACTTTAAAAAAATTTCGGGATTTGGGGTGGGGGGCTGATAGGGGGCTGGGGAGGGGGATATTCTAGGGTAATGTGGAAAATAAATATTTGAAGTTCAAAATATTAAACTTAATATTTTTGAAGGGTGGGGGTTGGTTAGGGGTAGGGGCTGGTAGGGGCTAGGGTTTTTTAAAAACAAACTTAATTTTTTTGGGGTAGGGGTGGGGGTTAGTAGGGGGCTGCGGGTGGGGGCTGATGGGGGGGGGGGCGGATCGTAGAGATGAATTGTAGTTGAAAACATTTTTCTAAAAACAAACTTAGTTTTTTTTT